TTTTTCCCAGGACCCATCAGCTCCAAGTCAAGTTGTTGTCCTTCAGTCTTAGTTGTGGAGGGCACAGCTCAGCTTCAAGTCCAGTTGCCATTTTTAATCTAGTTGTGGGGGGCACAGCCCACCATCCCATGTGGGAGTCGAACTGGCGACCTTGTGGTTAAGAGCATGTGCTCTAACCAACTGAGTCATCTGGCCGTCCACTGGCAGCTCAGTGGCAGCTAAGCTCAAGTTGTCTTCAGTCTAGTTGCAGAGGGTGCAGCTCACTGGCCCATGTGGGAATCGACCCGGCAACCCTGTGGCTCAGAGCTCTTGCTCTAACCAACTGAGCCACCTGGCTGCCCTCTTAAGATTTTTTTCTGGAGTTCTCCAGATTGCTGCCTGCAGATGTAGACTTGGCTGATGGCATCTTGGAACTGAGTTGGCAGAGTGGAAAGACAGGCTGAGTCTCATCGTTCCATGTGCTGTCGTTTTAGTTCTATCCTTCCCCTCCACCCCTCCACTCTACATCCCCCATCCTTCCCACCCCTGTGCCTGAAATACTCAGGTTTAGAGATTCTCTTTTTCAATTTGACTGTGCCTGTTTCTCTTGCAAAGATAGAATAGGGCTAGTTTTCTGACTACATTGGCTATCAGGAAGTAAGAGTCCAGCAAAGGAGGGTTAAGTGAACCTTGGAGGTCTTTCACTCTTTTTACAAACTTTCAGATAGTCTCCTTATATTTAGTTTTCTTTTTCATACTTTGGATTATAGATGTCTCTTGGTTTCATGGAAGATGAAGTCTGTCTTTGTTATTTTCCTGCTTATTTTTTGGTGATTTGGAGATGAAAATAGGGCAGAGAGGTCTTTCTGCCATTTTGAATCTGCAAGTCTTCAACCAATCTTTGTAAAGTTTATCTTTCACCTTTTCTTCACATGCACTCTATATTCTAACCATCTGAGCATTTTCAGTTTTCTTAATGAAGAATGATCTCTTGATGCTTTGTGCTCTTATATGAGTTTAGGATGTTTATTTCCTCATGTTTGCCTGCTTAATTTCTACTTGTCTATCAAGACTTGATTCAGTTTACTGAGAAGGATTAATTTTTGATTACATCCCCCAAGAGTGACATAGGTGTTCCTTTCCCAATCCTGTAACATATTTGTGCTGTTACTAATAATATTCAAGTAGAGTTGTTTGTCTCCTGGTCTAGGCTATGAGTTTCTTGAAGGTGAGTTCCCTCATCTCTGTATAGTCAATGCTTATTATGGTTTCTGGAAGGGCGTAGGTGCTCAATATTATTTATGGTATAAATGAACCAAGTAGATTTCTTTATATAATCTCAGTAATAAATTGCATACCATAGTATTGGGTATATCACATTATAGTAAGTCCTCAATGTCATTAATAGGTTCTTGGGACTATGGTGAAACAATGTATAATGAAACCAATTTTACCATAGGCTAATTGATATAAATAAAAGTTACGTTTCTACAGCATCTTATCAAAGTTATAATGAAACAACACTGAATGAAATGACGTTTTTGAGGGCCTGCTGTAGTTTGTTCACTCATTCATTTAATAAAAATTTATTGTGCAAGCACGTACTAAATGTTAGCCACAACCAACTGAGAAGCATATAAACAAGTACATAAAATAATTGTAGGTGATGATAAATGCTAAGGTGTCATATTTAACTTCTCATATCTACAATGTGTTATTTAAATATTTTGTTTTAGGTATCACTGCTGTTGATCCAAAGCACCGAGAAAGAAAATAAAATGAAAGATTTAACATTTCTGCTAGAGGAATCTAGAGATAAAGTTAATCAATTAGAGGAAAAAACAAGTAAGAATTTACATAAGAAAATATAACAATGTGTCTTATGTATTCCTCTTGTTATGTTTTGATTTTTTGCTTCATTTTAATTTTGTTGTAATACATACTTCTAGAACTGCAGTTCCCAACCTTGGGTGAATCAGTTCAAGGAGGACATAATAGAGTCACTTAGGGAGATTTTTCAAAGTACACATGCTCTTCTTTTCCGTTTTCATACTCTAACCTTCAGTTTCAACAAAGTGCTCTTTGAAAACAGGGATCTGTGTCTTTTTTTGTTGTTGTTCACAGATGCATTCCAAGAACAATGGCTAGCACATATTAGGCATTCAATAAATAGTTTATGAATGAATGAGTACGCTGGGAGCACGATAGAGGGAGTTTTTTTTGTAAATTTATTTTATTTATTTATTTATTTATTTATTTATTTATTTTTAGTTGAGCCATCCTGCCACCTGTTGGCAGCTCAGCGGCTGCTCAGCTCGGGCTGACTCGAACCGCTGTTGCTCAGAGCTCAAACTCTTGAGCGAGCTCTTNCTCGCAAAATCGCACACAGCCGACCATACACCCAGTATGATAGCGCAAAATCGCGAATCGCGATACCATACTGGGTGTATGGTCGGAAGAAGGGGTAGTCTTATATGGCGAGTATATAACAAACTCTGTATTTTGAGTGGAAATGTTAGGGGGTCGTCTTATACGCCCAGTCGTCTTATATGCCGGCAAATACGGTATATAATTTTAGTAACCAATGTTACCCCAATAAGTTTAATAAATTGAAAAAACAACTACATGACAATTATTTGATGTGTGTGTGTGTGTGTGTGTGCGTGCGCGCGTGCGTATGTATTACACTGGAATGTAAGTTAGTTCCAGTAGGATAAGGACTTTGTCTTATATCCTAAGTTCCTAAAACAGTGCCTAGCGCATAATAGACATTCAGTAACTATTAATTAATTAAATAAATAAATTAATCCAATTTTGCAAATCAAGACTTATTGAATATTGAATGAACTCATGCTTCCAGGTGGTGGACATGTAAGTTGGACTCCTGAGGGAAGAGACCTCATAGAGTTTATGCTTTAATGGGGAAGATAGATATTAAATCAATAAGTAAAAATAAAGATAAAATTATAGATTTTGATTCAGGCTATTAAGTAAATGACTAGAATACTAACAATTGTTTTACTGCTGTTAGGTAATAGATAACGTCTCCGATACCTTTAAGCATCTGGGAAGCTAACATAATAGGCACTTATAATAAGTTTTTAGAAAATTTAGTTATTAAAAGTATTAGGGGTTTCATTATTCAAAGTTGTGTGGTTTTAAATCTAATGACGATATGAAACAAATTTATTAATATTTTTATAGTTTGAAGAAAGCTACTTAGAAAGTCTAAGTATGATTCTTAAAAGTTAAACTTCATATTTCAGAAAATGATAATAGCTTTTGAGGAACTTCACATGCAAGCTGAGAATTCCAGACTGGAAATGCACTTTAAATGTAGGGATCCTGTTTAATTTTTATATTATTATTCTGCCGTTTATACTTTTATTAGATTCTGTTAATGTTTTCATGCCTTCAGTTTGATGCCTCAACTATTTTAAATTTTGTATTGTATGTAGTTTATAAGCCCCTGAATCCTATGGAATGTGTCAGGGAATTGATATATGCTAAAAATACCTTTTTGACATCAAAGCTATATTTTCTCTGAAATCAAACTTATTGTGGTTTGTATTTAAATTTTTAGAAGTGTGATTTGGTCTTATTTTTACATTTCTTGGTGAAATTGCATGTAAAAATAACTATATTTAAAATCTGTTACTTCAGATTAGTGTTATAAAGAATAAAATTTTATATATGTGCTATTATAAAAAAAATATAATTTTAAGTTATAACTGATGTTATTTAAGTTCAGTATTTTACTGAATTTAGCAATAAAACGGCAGTTTTGGTTTCTTAGAAACCTTTGGGGTTTAATAGCTAGGTAAATAAGAAAGTGAAATAAAATACCAGAAACTTTAAATTTTGTTATACAATTATATTAAAATAATGAAGTATATTGATTTTACAGTAAAGGAAGATTATGAAAAAATCAAACACCTTGAAGAAGAACACAAGAAGGAAGTAAATGACAAGGAAAAACAGGTATGTTTTTAAAATCAACTCACTGTGCTAATTTATAAAATATTTAAAATTTCAAAAAATTTATGTTTGTTTACTGTATGATAAATTTCTGTTAGAGAATTTTAATAATATACATGTCTAAATATTGGATCTTTTGCCTAGCAGAATTAATTTCCCTTGACACACACAATGTGCACACACAATGAACGCTAGCCCTTTTTAAAAAAATGAGTCTTCTGCAATATTTATATTAGTGGATAATAGGACATTACTGCAAAAATATATTATTTTGTGAGAACTTTTTTTCAGACAGAAACCGCATAAAATGTAAAGATGATCACTGACCACTAGTTTCATACCCACATTTCATAGTTTATTTTGAGATATACTATTCATGACATAAATAAAGGTGAACTAAGACATTCTTTTGTTTCCTTCTATTAATGTCACACAGTGTAAAACTTGAAAATGGTGAGTCTATGTTCTTTGATAATCACAAGAATGTAGGTTTCAGAGAATTATTATGCCACTTTTATCAATTTCAAACCTTCTGCTTCCCAAATGGAAAACAATATGTAGAAAGGAATCCACTTCCCTCTGTTTCCCTGTTTTTTTCAGTTTTTCTTCTCTAACTTGCCACAAGATGTCTCATAATGGTAGATAACAAGGATATCTACTTAAACAATAGTAAGAGAAGTTATTGAAAGTACAGAGAAGATAGAATTTTCTTTAAGTTATGGTTAAATGTTAGAATTCTAATTTATGTATTATGCTTAGATATTTTGACAGAGTTAATATTTTGTATTTTAACTAAATTTTAAATCTGATTTCTGAAAGAAGGAGGTCTTTTTAAAAGTTAAAAGTGTGCTTAATAATAAGAACACAAAAATAGAATGTAGTGCTAAAAAGCTTGTTGGAGTTCTGGGTACATGGGCAGAATTTCCAGATTGTTGTTCCCTGTAAAACAATGGTGTGGCCAGTTAGTGTTTTTGATGAGGGCTCCTAATGTCATCATTATTATTATTATTATTATTATTATTATTATTATTATTATATTTTTTAGCTGAGCCATCCTGCCATCTCGGGCCAGGAATCGAACTGGTGACCCTGTTGCTCAGAGCTCACACTCTTGAGCGAGCTCTTAACCAACTGAGCCACTCGGCTGGCCCCTATTATTATTATTTTTTAACTTCATTGGGGAACAGTGTATTTTTCCCAGGACCCATCAGCTCCAAGTCAAGTTGTTGTCCTTCAGTCTTAGTTGTGGAGGGCACAGNAGCGCTGGGGAATTGGGGGAAGGGGAACAGACAAGTTGCTGTCCTTTTGTTCTTCAGTCTAGTTGTGGAGGACGTTGCTTTACTAGCCGATATTGGTATTATCATTGCGCTCTTCCCTGGTGAGGCAGATCGGTCGCCAGCCTCTGGACCGCCGCTCACGGTGGCTCTTAGCAGTTTACACCGGCTGCCAGCTGCTCACGCTGGCTGCCGGCCACACACGGTAGCTTACGGCAGCCCACTGCAGCAGAGGCTGCAGCCTATGCCGTCGCCAGCGACTCACGGCAGCCCAGCTCCAGGTCGAGCTGTTGTTCACCATCATAGCTGTAGAGGGCAGTTGTTACTGGCCCTCATGTGGGATCCAAACCAGGGCCCCGCTGCTCAGAGCGGGCATCCCAAGCCAACTCTTAACCAACGCGCCACTCGGCCGGCCTGCTATGCTCTTTCTGATCTTGGTTCTTTGAATTTTTTCCCTCTGTCTAGAAATTTGTAAAATACCTTTTTTGAAGAACACTTAACTTTTCTGAAGTGCTCTTCAGAAAAGTAAAATGAGATGAGGAGATAATAATTGAATAGAGATCTATTTTAGATAAAGTAGTAAGAGGGATAATAAAAAAGCAGATTAAAGCTTATGAGTTTGCCTAAGATCTTGGACACAAAATTTCTGCAGAGGGAACAATATTACATGGCCATAAGAAAAGATGAAATACTGCCATTTGTGACAGTATGGATGGATCTTGAGATTATCATGCTAAGTGAAACAGACAGAAAAAGTTGAGATGCATATGACTTCACTCATATGTGAGATGTAAAACTGAAAGCAACAAATCAACAAGCCAAACAAACAACGAACTGTAGACACAGACAACAGTTTAGTGGTTATCAGAGGGTAAGGGGATAGAGGGATGGTACAAGAGCGAAAAGGGGGTCAAATATATGGTGATGGAAGGAGAACTGACTTTGGGTGGTGTGAACACACAATGCAATATATAGATGATGTATTATAGAATTGTATACTTGAAACCTACCGTATTTGCCGGCGTTTAAGACGATTTTTTGGCCCTGAAAAATATGCCTCCAAGTGGGGGGTCGTCTTATACGCCAGGTACACTTCAGATAGACTGC